TGAGGTTTTCATGACTAGAAGCAAAAATTTCACCGTCAAGTCAACTCATGCAGTTTAAAATACCTTTATTCGATTGCAAACTGTCCAATCCACCAACCATGATGTTCGTCAGCCCGTCACTACATTCTAGTCTATTTTTTTTCCACTTTTTTCGATATTTAAGTAAAAACAGTTGGTCGGATGTGGTTTGGTAGGCTCACCTGAAGTAAACAAACCCCAGTTACCTCTAATACGGGACCGGTGGTAAATGGGGTTTTTACAGGTGGAGCCGGAGAACACACAGACGACGAGGACAAGTAGTTGCATGGAAATGTGGTTGAATTTACGCGGGCATCAAAAAACCATGAAAATAATGAATACAGCATAAGAAGTCATTCTTTGTTGAGTGAGGATGTCGTAGGAGGCCGGAAAGGTCATTAAAAAGTCGGCGCTCTGGCGTGACTAAAATATTTTTGGATCGTAAACCACAGTAATTTATTTTACAACCCCACCTAAGTAATTCCTTCAAACCGAAGATATATCACCGAACTTCGATTAAAATTTCATGAGATAGTCCGGATACTGTACCCTTTATCACGCCTTTTTAAAATAAATCATCTGCAATGTATATTATTGTAGTTGGTAAGCTACTTTCTCGAAAGCACATGCTATGTATTGATGCAATTTACGGCGACTACTCACAAACCTCAACGCATTCCTATGGCGACAGCTGTTGATCGGCAAATATCAAACCGATATTTTACGTTGAGTGAACACAGCACAATCTAGGCAGAATGTTAATACCGCAAACACAAGGGAGACTGATCGATAATAACATTCTGCCTATATCATGAGCCGTTGTTCGGCTGCTGGTTGGGCTTGAGAGAGAACCCGTGAGGCACAACGGAACGAGTGAATACCGCAAAAAATCGATCGGTGAGCACCCTACTCTGCTATAACAGAGTCTGTTTAAGTTGGGATTCCATTTAGTCGAAACAACTTAACACTTTCTTATACTAAACGTCTTGAAGAGGGACTTTCCTACACGCAGACGAAAGAAGAGGAAATAATTAATAACCACGGCAGGACTGACTTATTTGACCCCTAAACAGGACATGGGAATAGGTACGCACCATCCAAGCAATAAAGATGGCCTGGGCATAATCCCAGAAAGAGACAAGTATTATCGCGTCCATACCACAGAAATAACCCTTATCTAAAACTAAGCCGTTGGCTTAATATTGACCTTACCCCTGCACTAAAACTCAAATCTACACTTAACATTAACCCCTAACGAAAACCAAAAATTGGTCCTAACTTAGTTTGTCGTTGGCTTTAAATCTAGCCTTTAGCCTAATTCATAACCCAACCCTAGCCCTCACCTTCAATCTAACCCTAATTTGACTGGACGTTGGCTCAAAGCCATCCGCATTGCAGGAGGTTCCTGTTCTCATGTCCTGTTTAGGGGACAATTTAAGTCAGTCCTACCACAATGACTATTAATGGAAGATGAACGCACATCTCCTAACAGTGCGAATTGGCGGAAAAATCATCATTAAAGAGAAACTGGCATCTACCACTCTATCTCAGACATGACTCGGTGCGTCAACGCATTCTACGGTTTTGCGTTCGGCCACCACCACAACTTCGCAGAACACAGCCCTCCTTCTGGTGCCATTACTCGGGGTATGGCCTGATAATTGTAGCTACCAAGTACAAGCCTCATCTTCAGCAGCTACAAGTTGCTGATTGGCTAAGTTGAAAGATCCAGGTTGTTCATTTGAGAAGAAGGGCTCATGAGAACAGGCGGTAAGGTGGGGTTTGGTAGCCCCACCTGCTGGGGTTGGGGTTAAAGGTTAGGATAGGGGATTAGGGCTAGGGGTTAGCGCAACTATTCCTCAACCACTAAAAGTACAACCGGGCATTCCCAATAGCTTTTTTTCGCATACAGCTACTTGACCCCGTTGCCTATGCGGTCCCGTCTCCCCCCTGTATAAACCCCTATTACCACCGATCCCGTATTAGAGGTAACTAGAATTCGTTTACTTCAGGTGGGGCTACACAACCACATCCGACGGATTAGGCTTATTGGAATGCTGACATCTCGGCGAACTCGGTTGGTCCACCATTGTCCAAGCGTAGAATGTAATTAATCGAGCAGAAACAGAAGTTGCGTGGCACGCTGGGCAGCCTCATATTGATTGTTTTTCTCCTTTCTCGCTGCCTCGGCCATTCCAGGGATTTTTGGCGGACTCTTTGGGGTGCAGGTGCTGTGAGTCACCGACTCTTCCGGGGGTGTGATTGAGCCTTTGCCGGGATTGTTCGGTCTGACGGCCCCCCTTCTTCCTCGCCGAGTTATTTCGTCGTCAGGCTTTGTCCGCGCGGCCGTCTTAAATTCAGTGTGGTCTTCTTGTCCTGAACTTTATGAAAAGAATGGTACAGGACTTTGTAAGCTGCAAGAAGGTCCAAATGAGAGAGAGGAATGCTTTATTTTGAAAATAACATTCAAAACTTTCAGCAAAAACGGTTCTTCAGAACACAGTGATTACCATAGAGATCAACAGGTATTGGACAGGTGGACATAATTATATATGAAGAAAAAAGGACTTTAAGATGCAAGATCGAGTTTTAGCTTTTGTTTTTCAGCATCTTTGCAGGTGATATAACGAGCTAGAAATGGCAGTATGGAATTCTGATAAGCCGAAGTGCGACAAGGGATGTGGCGGGAGCATCGACGCATGGGGCGTATGGATTTCGCAGCCACTAACTCATTATGAAGGGGATGGACGGTGTCATTCAGAATTCGGTCAGCAAACTGCTCCACCGTATTGAAATGTCGAATTCATACATCAGTCTTGATTGACAAAAATGGCCACTCCTCCAACTCTACTGCCTGTTGGAGATGGTCTATCATTTCGAAAACAACAAAATGATGAAGGAGTGATTAGTTCCGAGTCAATATGGCTATTCAACCACGTCTCCTGAAGGCATATTACTCCTGTTTTGCCATGTTCTTTGGTTGACAGAAGTAATTCCAAATCATGGGCTTTGTTAAATATCGATCGACAGTTAGTCGAAAGAAAACCAGGGATTTACAACTTGTTTTTAGACTGGCGTTTAAGCGCAACTTGCCATCCACAGCGATGTTGCTTTCGAAATATTGGCCTTTGCTGATACGAGCGTGGGAAGGCCAGCGAGGAAGGACGATAAACAGGACAAGTTGTCAGAGGGTAACTGCTGCTGGCACGGCGAGTTCGTTGCCTCTGGGAGCGTGAGAACGCCAACGCAGGACAATCGCAGAAACGACAAATTGGCCGCAAAGTGCAACCACTAGGGTCATGATTAGGAGGCGGAAAAATCGATGCAGAAATTTCGCAGGGTTTAAGCTCCTTTAAAAAGGTACTAGCGTACTGTAAAGACGACCTCATAGGAATAGATCAATTGAGACAAAGGAATAAGACTGGGGTATGCAATTAATAAGTATTCACGTGACTGGAGGGAAAAACAAAAAGTGGCGGCTCAATTTCAAAAGAGTTGGCATCTGAGTACCACGCCTCGGGTGCCTGTCGTTCTGCCTTTGAGTTATCCCGGCCTAAGACGGCAGCTGCCCTTAGGTCGAAAGTTTGACCGGTTTTCCCCAGCTTGCTTTGCAAGCTGAAAGTTTGGATCTAGCCTCCGAGTTGCCAGTTTATGATTTTGTATGCGGGCCTGCATTCCTGCCCCTTTTTCCCAACGTACTTGCTGCCCCTATCATTGTAACTTATCTTGTAGGCAACTACTGAGGTTCCAGTGGGTGGCTGCGTGTCCTTAAGTTGCATAGGCGCCGATTTGTTGCCTCGGGGTAAATGGGCTATGCCTATTCTGGCGGGTTGTTACAGTCGAGATACCACCTAGGAGAACCCTTTAGTGCCGGAAATGGCCCTCCAAACTTCGCGCCTGCCTTTCTCAATAAAATGGCTGGGAAAATCATTGTCTGTGAAGAGATGCTAAAGGTAAAGCCGTTGGGTCCTTTTATCTTCAGGCGTGCTGCTGACTGTTTCATCTCTTTGGAACAGAGTGCAGACACAGCTACAATCAGCATGAGGTCGACCAGCACGGTATGCCACTTCTATTTCTGTTCGATTAAGTGCACTTTAAGCTTCGACGATGGTGAGCCGACCACGGTCTCCGAAGTGTCGATATTCCAATGAACCTGTTCCGGTGAGACTATCTCTGAAGCCTAGGCCGAGCGTGTGACCATGGCCACCCCGACTATCAGGCTCGATCCCGAATTGAAAGAGAAGGAGGACGCCAGTTGGGAGGATCGTACAGAACAACGAGAGAGGGGGCTGTATAGAGTTGATAACCGGACGTGGGCAGGCCCAGCGCAGGGTTGAGCGGCGCCCCCAGCGTCCGTCAGGGAATGATTCAAAGCGTCTTAAAACAGGGGACACGGCTTTGAATCTGATTGGTCGGTTGGAAGTCCAAAGTGGGCGAATGACAGACAGCCCTGGTGCGCAGGTGCAGATACTCGCAAGAGGCCCAATGCTGAGACGGGCGTTCGTAGTAGGGCCATTACAGGCCTTTCTTCATCCTCAGGTGAACAACCTGGATCTCTCAACTTCACTAAACTGAATACTCTGTAAGTTTTAACTGCTTTCGGTAGTACTTGGTTGTCACAATTATCAGGCAGAACCCCGAACAGTGCATAAAGACAAAAGGCACCAGAAGGAAGGTTTTTTCTGCTCAGTGGTGGTGGCGGTCGAACGCAAGGCCGTGGCATGCACTGACGCATAGAGTCATGTCTGAGAGAGTGTATGTGGTAGCGGTTCCTGGTAAAGTGTGTGTTGCGAACCAGGGGGTGTTGTGGCACGCCTAGATGCGGTTCCGCCATGCCAGCCAGCTGCGCCCTCCCACGCCTCCGGTCGTCCTGACTCTGCCCTGACACCAGGTCCATGTGGGGAGTGGGGAAGAGAGAGAGAGATAGTGCGGTAGATGCTGCTCAAGTCTACTATCGCTATGGACCAACTCGCGCGCAAGTCACCGTGCCTGCTGCGTCTTTCTCTGTAGCACACCGTGGACATTGTCGGAATCGACGGCCGAGCTGTCGTGTTAGCGGTTGCTTTACCAGGCTTTTGAGAGCACGCTCAAGTACTGTCCAGTAGGCGTGTGCTGCATCCCTACCCGAGGCGTGGTGTGTCCCAGCGACGCATGGGCAGCTGCGACCACCTGGACGCAGGTGTGCCCGAGTTGCAGTCGGTCTGCAGCGGCCGAGGACGTGGAGAGTAGCACACACCTGGTAATGTGAAGCATCTGGGATAACTCCTGACTTATGACGAGCTGGATGAGGTTGTTAGAGACTGCACCCTTCTCATCGAAGCTATAGGAGGAAAAAATTAAACGATACGAAATATGTATGCTAGGAACGAGGAGTTTTGTACATCGGCTAACGATAAATGATACAGAGCTAGATCAGAGTTATTGCATGAAAGAGATGATGCCAACGAGCATGCTAAATGACCGGTGGGGAATGCAGCGCTGGGGCAGCTGCTGGGGGCCGGGGTGGAGGGTGCCGACACAGAGGACGGGTGGGGGGGAAGCATTACGACGAGAGTTGTGGGGAAGGAGTCGGCGGTTATGTGGGGGAAGGGAACTGGCTATTTTCACCAACATGAGGCTACACCGTCTCCATCCTGGACCCACGCCACAAGTGTTCACTTCATCCAAACAACTCAATAGAATTCCTTGGAGGTTACATTTCGAGGAATTGCAGGTCAGAGCGTGTGGGGTTACATGAGGCCGCCCTTCAGAGGGATCTTGACCTCGACGTAAATGAGCCGAGAAACAAGTAAGGTGACCGCTGTAGTGGTGGTGGATGGCCAAAGTTCAAGGGATTGAAGTACGGTCATTACAAAGTTATCGGACTTTCATGGTGTCCCACAGTCATCAGTGCGTCCGCTTTCATTAAGTAATCTGTCAGACGGGAAATATGTCAATCTTCAAAAGAGGCATTGAGTTGCAGAATTATGCTGTCGCCCTTATATTTCCTGCCATCGCATTTATTATACAACTGATTCCAATTTTCACTATTAACTATGGCTTCTTAAGTCTTCCAGTTCCGTAAGCGGATTTTGTCCACGGGTTCGTTACTAATTAAAACTCCAAATGGCAGACAGTCAATGGTGTTTCAATAGGCGTTGCCAACCTTTGAAGGATGATTGCCCAGGCAAATATGGCGCTGCATGTCCACCTTCTGGGCTCCAAGGTTTGTTAGCGTCTGCTATGCCATAATAAGCAAACCATGGACCACGCGGTCTGGTGTTAGCTGGCAGTTCTCTGGCGGTAGATGCACATGCGCTCCCGCTGGGTATACACGTCGTGTGCATGGCTGCCCAGTCGTACATGTCTTTTCTGTTGTTGGCCGGAATCCTGGTCAAGTGCTGTTTGTGGGTCGGCGAGTGTGAAGTGGAGCGCCTAGGCGCGGACTGGGCCACGCCATTTACCTGCGCCCTTCCCGTCTGAGATCTTCTTGGATCTGTCTTGACACTGGGTCCAGGCGAGGAGGAGGGCAGAACGTGGCAGACGCTACGTAAGCCTACTCTCACTATAAACTAATTCCCGTTCAAGTCACCTCGCCTGCTTCACCTAGCTGTTGAGCACGGGATGAACAATGTCGGACGCGACGGTCGAACTACCAATAGGTGTTGGGGTGCGCGATAACTGCTCCTCACTACTATAGTTCGTTCTCCGTTCAAAATCAGGTAGCCGGAGGTGAGGTGACAAAAACTGATGAGTGAAATTTACACAAAAATGCGGATAGCGAGCACGAGACGGAGTGCAGACTTAGCGTGGCCAAATGCGTATGAAGGCCTTGCCTCTGATTGGTTAATCACTAAGCGCCGCAATAGCGCATTTTGTGTGAATACGGTAAGCGATGTATGCGGACAGGTGTTCGGGTAGGTTTTCAATTACATCGTCCATGAAGAAGACGTTCGTGGAACACTCGTTTCTTAGCCCTTCCCTGAGTGAATACTAGGGACACTCCACTGAATAGTATTATCAATGCATTTCGAACTGGGCATCCATCTTCCCGTCCTTGCTTACATGCTAAATGTAGTTGAGCCATATATTTGAGATCTTTTTTTACTATTATTCCAGAAGTCCCCAGTGATTTCCCCTGCTCGGATGAGACCTGGACCTATGTCGCCAACAACGGTCAGTGCTACAAGGTTATCTCGGGGCCAAAGAAGTTTAACTGGAGCGAGGGCGAGGTGGCTTGTAAGTCAGCTCTGGCCTCTGTCTCGGCGATACCTGTGGTACTGCCAGAGGTGCACAATGAGAGCGAGGCGAATGCCATGATTGAATTTCTGGTAAAAGTGGCTGTCAAGGAGAAAATATGGCTCGGAGCCCGACGAGAAGGTAAGTTCCGAGTCCTGCGCCATTTCCCCGGACGTCCACCGAGGAGCCTATTATGAACAGGCATGTCAGGAGTCTCTGGCCGGTTGCTGAGGCAAAAAATGCCCTCATTTTAAATGGAGCACTAGGTGCAGACAACTAATCTGTTTAAGCACAAAGTGTGTCTGCTAGTCTCGATTTGGCACCATTTTAGTTAGCACCTTGAAAGTCTACACCGCGGGGTGATGTACACTCTGGTGGAGATTTTAGGTTGGTTGAAGGGTCCAAACTGAAAGAGGACAAAATATGCTGTCAGCTGAGGTTGACAGTACTGATTAACTTTGTGAACCAACTTTGTACGAAGATGGGCTCCAGATAAAAGGGGTTCAACGAGCCAGAGAAGAGGGTGCGATCGCTTTTTCCTTTTCTATTCCAGTGTTAGCATAGTCACTTTATGCTGTGAACGCGCAAGTTGAAGTTCGTGAGTGAAGCACGGTTATATTACGAAGCAAGAGGCGAGGTTACCGAAACCATTGACTTGATGACGGAGAAAGAGTCTCCAAGACAGCAGTACAAATATGATTTTGCCGAAAAATCCGACTCCTCTTCTTCACCTTCTCTAGAAGATGATGAAGCAGTGGTCTACGGCATACCGTGCCAAAATTGCAATGCACGCTATGTTGGTGAAACGGGGAAACGCCTCTGCACAAGACTGCATGAGCACCAGCTTGCAGTCAACCGCGAGGATAAACTGTCACCGGTATATGGCCACATGCAACAGGAGGAACATAGTTTCGCCTTTGGGGAAGCAAGCGTCCTCGGTCGAGTCCATGACAAGATGGCTAGGCTGGTGCTCGAAAGCTGGTCCTCAGTTGGCACAATCAACAGGGCTATTGATCTTCATCCGGCCTACCAGGCGCTGCGTACAAGACTCCAGTCAGTCCAGACGGGGCCGACAGTACTGGCGAGCGAGTCGTGGCTCCTCCAACAGTTGTCACCTTCACAGCAGGGGAGAGGAGCCAGCCGGAGGTCACACGACCAAAGCGAGACATCGCCCCACCGGCGCGCCCAGACAGCCGAGCGTGATTCGCACATGCAACAGCAACCGATCAGTTCATCCGATTATGAGGTGAGGGCCCATGGGAACACAGGATTTGCAGCGATTACGACAGCCGGTCAGGGGGCAGAGGTCACAGGAGCGCGCCATTGGCCGCCCGCGGAGGGACCAAAGCCAATCCGCAGCCAGAGGGCAGGTCAGAGTACGTGCGTCAGGCATGCCTATAACACAAGACAGGCGGCGAGGCAGAACAACTTCGAGCAAGCAGGAACAGACACCCCACCACTCTGATGATGGAAATGAGGAAGTTTCCGAAACGTCAGCACCAATACACTGTGGTCCATGCAATCGCCCCTTTTTCTTCTTCGTCTTCTTTTGAGGATGATGAACGGGATATATATATATATATATATATATATATATATATATATATATCGCCTTCATCATCTTCTAGAGACTATGAAGAAGACGAGTCGGGTTTGTTGGCAAAATTATATTTGTACTGCTTATATAGGCACGGTTCTATAGGCGGAACAACTCTCAGTAGTCATAAATGAATACAAACCGACAACAACACTTCATAACCAGCTGTACACTCTAAGGATGAGGTTGGTTATATATATAAAAAGGAAGTCGTCTTTAAGATACCATGCGACACCTGTGATGCGGTGTAATATGAGAAAACTGGGGAACCTGCCTCTACACGCATATACGAGCATTAGTTGTCATTAAAAAGGCGAGGTCATTTGTCCCAGATTGCCATGGATACGCTGGAAACTGGGCACAAGTTTGCATGGAAACAGACTCGCGTTATAGGTGTCTGCTCACCTAAGAAAGTCCGCGAATTTTTAGAGGCCATTCATTCTGATATTTCATACATCAATCGATACATAGAACTAACCGCTGTGTACAAAACCCCCAAGGAAATGTGAAAAATGCATTAGCCAACCGGACCGTGATGCTAACACACAGTAAGGCTGACTGGCAGCAGTCACAAGGCAATGCCATCATTAAGATATGATGAAATTTTGATCGGTTTGCAGATTTCGCGCCTGCGGTTGACGTGGGAACGAAGGTTGAAAATGTACGAAATAAATTGTGTTATCTTTCCTAAGGGAACTTAATTCTTTCGATATTAATATATATCCATATGGTAAGGGTATTATATAGTACTCCCAACATAGATACTAGGTAAAGGTCCTGATATTCTGCAACTTCGCGTCACATCCGCGAGGGGGTCGGCTTTTCAAAATATCGGCCATACACGTGTCTGGGCTTTAAGCTAGTATCTATGACGGGAGTACGGTTTAATACCTTGACCATGAGGATCTCAAGCTACTCGTAGTGCTACTTGTTTGTAGAATGGGCATTATATGGTTATTCCAGAATCGTTGATTGTATTCCACTCAAATGCTTATTGAGAGTTAAGGTCCGACTCTAAAAAGGCATGTCCAGGAGACTTACCTTCATGCCCTGTGCCGAATAGATTCTGCAATTATTTTTTCTCTCACACTTTGTCTCTCTCTGTCTCTGTCTCTGTCTCTCTCTCTCTCTCTCTCTCTCTCTCTCTCTCTCTCTCTCTATATATAT